GATCTAGTAGGAAATTGTATCCATGATTTGACGGCTACATTGATACTTGCGTCTACAAATCTTTGTTAGTAATATAGCTTGTATAAAGGAAAATAGAATATAAATATATAATCTATTTTCTATGTATTTATTAACAACACATTGATACAATGCAAAGAGGAACAAAATAGAGAGAGAGAGACGATTTAAAATTATAAATTAATGTTCCACAAAAATGGAAATAAAAATTAAATTCTAAAAATTAAATCAAATCTATTTTATCAATACTTTTGCCCATCCTCCAACTCTATTCATCCGTCATTACGATGACTATGAAATCGCTGAAATTTTAATATCGCATACATGTTGCTCCCTTACTTAAAAAGTAACAACTCAAAATATCAAGTTTTCCAGAAAAGGAATAAACTACTTTCAACTTGACAGAAAAATATTCAACCAATCAAATAATATTGGCAAGAAAAATATTTTTAACATGACCAAACATCATTTTTGTCATTCTAGTATCACGACGAGCCTAAAGTTACGTTATTATAATTAATTTTTGATGATCGATAGGATAATATTTACCTAACTTATTTATAGTAATAATTGAATCATGGTTTTTAAATTATATGTCACTTTTGAAGTAAGGAAGTAGGTAATATATGTGCTCTATATGATATCTGTATCTTGATACATTTTTACAGAAATATAAGCAACGAACCACTATCACACGACAGATAAGATTTGAGATTCTAGCGGAATTGTAAGATCAAGTATCATTCTCAATGTTTCGTGAAATTATCGTCATCTTATTCGTGGCAATTTCGTGTATTTTTCCCATATTTTACAAAAAATTACAAATTAATATATATTTCTCTCTCTCTCTCTCTCTCTCTCTCTCTCTGGAAATTAAAATAAGCGTTGCGCTAGAGCTAAAAATTCCTTTCATAATTAGTCGCAATAATGAAAATTATCATAATTAATGGTCTACTAACACGTTCTTTTCAGTATTTCTTCAAAGTTACTACCAAAGTTACATGCCGGAATAATAATCCTGCACTTTATTGCGATAATTTTTTCAAGTCTGCAAGTAAAATCCTAGTGGAAAAAGTTTGCGTTAAATCAAAACAAAATGATAAAAAATTGAAAAACAGTCTTCCTTTATTGAAAAAGAGCGCGCGTAGAGGAGATTCGAGGGAAATCTTACCTGAGCAGCCATGACGCGTTGTCTCTCGGCGATAAGGGTGCACTTGGCACAGACGCAATCCCGCCATCGGCAATAGCGCTTGTGTCCCTTGAGCGCGGACACGACCCCGTGATTACGACATCGCGCGCACTTTGGGGTCCGTTGATACCTCTCGGCACTGGCGCGCAGGAAGAACGCGGCCGGCAGCACGTGATGTTGCTGTTGCTGTTGCTGGTGCTGCATCAGTTGGCCCACGTCGACGCCGAGACCGACGCCACGGGGTAACGACATGATCACAGCTGTTGGACGTTAACTCTCGGTGGTTCACTCGGCTCACTCGGCCCACTCGTCCCACTCGTCCCACTCGTCGACGGGAGCGGCGGGCGCACGCAATTGCTCTCGGCCTCTACTGCTCTTACTCTCCGCGGCGCGGATCTTGCCGACTCGCGGTCACTCGCAGCGATCACCAGACTGCACCGCGGGACGATCACCGCGCGCCGTCGATCATCCGCGAAACCTTAACCGCGTACTCGATGACACTCATCCCCATGTCGAGGGATGCACGTCCACACCTCCTCTCTATCCTCTCGATACGATATATAATATGTATATATTATAGTCGCGATCGCGGAGACTATCGGATCAGGCCTTTACTTTACGGCCTTACGGCTTACGCGCACCACCATCGAGACATGGCATGATAATTTCCACCGTTACGACTGATTACGACTGATTACGACTGATTACGACTGATTACGACTGATTACGACTGATTACGACTGATTACGACTGATTACGACTGGTTACGACTGATTACGACCGTTCGCGGCAGGAGCAATCAGGAGCAATGGTAATGCATAGGCGTCTGCGATAGTAGACGCGCGCACGCGCCTGCTCTCCCATAAGTTGGTACGCGGCTGTCGTACGGAGAACAACACCCTCTCGTTCGGCTGCCGGGGGCCGAAATGCGGAATCGCATCCCGTGACACACGCTCTCTCGCCCCCTCTCACTCCCTCTCGCTCGCCGGCATTGTCAACAATTGCAGCATCCCGGGTGAGTCGATTCAGGTAGCGCGCGCGGATAGACGGAGGAGGAGAGGCGGTAGTAATGCGGCGCGGCAGCAAAGTGGGAGCTCAACGGGGCCACGGTTCTCCTCTACCTAACGGTAGGGACTATAGGGAGAGGAGAACGCACGCGCGCGAGCGAGAGAGAGAGAGAGAGAGAGAGAGAGAGAGGAATTCCACGGGGAGGGAGGAGACAGGGCAGAAACTAACGATCCCCTCCATACTCCACGCGAGCGCGAAATAAAACACTGTGCCACAGTGTTCCACCCCGAGACCTCGGCCAAACGCGAGGCCTCACCGAGCCACAGCCACGCCTCTACCGTCCGCCGATTGGCAGGCTCGCGCTGTACCAAACCGAGATGTTAAGAGTTTATATCTGCTGTCGAGTGAAAGGGGGACATACCTAGCCGCGTACCCACCTACCTACCTTTGCCCACTCACCCCCCAAGTCAACCGTGTGTATCTTCCGCACGACGGTGATGGTGATGATGGTGGTGACGATGATGGGATGGTGACGGTGTGACGGTGGTGGTGGTGTTGCTGGTATGGTAATGGTGTTGGTGGTGACGGTGGAGGCGGAGGAGGCGGTGGCGGCGACGATAGTGGTAACGGCGGTGGTGGTGGTGGCGGTGGCGGCAACAGCGGCGGTGGTGGCAACGGACAAACACATTACTCTTTTATTTAAAACCCGTTCCAGCATAAAACACAATGCGAAACGATGCTCAGACGTTTCTCCACGCTCCGCCTTTTGTTTCAGCCGACTGTTCTTAACCACGCACGCCTTTCTCGTTCTCTCCCTCTTTCCAGAAACGTGTCTTCTCTTTCTTTCCCTTCTTTTTCTTCTTTCCTACATATTCCTTATTTCGGTCTCTCTCTCTCTCTCCCATTCGATCTCTTTCGTTGGATACGGTCTATAAACCGCAACCAACACCGTCATCGCGACGAGTCTTCTTTGAATCATATTGTACAATGAGATTTGAATAGAGAAGAGAGGAGGGAGAAGGAGAGCAGAGCCCCATTGTCGTTTCACCAATGGCGGCCGATTTTATAGTGATCTAATGTACAGATGTTATTTACCCCGCAATGAGAATAGAATAAAAGCATTGTGCGCATTATGATTTGAATCCCGTATCTCGCTACGTTTCTATACCTACCCTCCTACCTACCTACCTACTTACCCTCACCCCATCTAGCCCTAACACGCGTGATATACGTAATGTACAAAAGTGTACAAAAGTTGCTCACGTTTCCGAGCTTTTCCAACTTTTCGTTTAAGCACGAAAAATACAAGTGTAACAATGCTTTCGTGCAGTGTCTGCGGTTACCTCGAGCAAGTACCTACTCCTCCGATATATACGCATATTACGGTTTACGAATACATGTATAAATTCACAAGATTGTTGTCCGACAAGAAGGACGTACATGTATATACTATGCAATGATAATAATGACGAGTAAAAGAGACTGACAATGAGAGGATAAAAAGGGTCCATTGGGTTTTTCTCTCGAATAAATCTAAAAGATCAAAAGTGTGAAAAAAACACGATTGTCCATCACATACCAAATATATATTTCATATTTTCCATACGCCCTTTTTACGGGCGGCTCGCTGAATTATTATCATGGCTAAATAATTGTACTTGTCGCAAATCGTAACGTAATAACGTGTCACGCGCAACCCCCAATTTCCACTCGGTCAAATTATCCACATTGTAATTTAGCAATCGATGAAATTGAATACGTCTGCTGCGAGCATCATCGAGAGTGTCACGTGCAAGTATGTATATATACGTGTGTGTACGAGGAAGCATAAATATGTATATATATATATATATATATATAATATAATACAATTCGCGAAATGACGGGAAATGACTTTTTTCGATGACGCTCATCAAGGGAAGAGCGTTTTTCATTTGACGGCAAATTTGAGCAATAATAAAAAATGTATTCGAAATGGGGAAGAGAGTTCGTTGACGTCGGCGTATATCTATACGTATGTACATATATACGGCACAGACACGGACCTTTTTTACTCTCGCACATCAGCCACTCAAAGTGAACGTACATGCCGATGGGAAAATCAATAAACCAATAGGTTCGCCAATACATGCCCGTTCATTAAGTATCATGTATGTACTTTTCGTCCCGAAATCCGAAACGCAAAATCGGAGAAATCGTATAAAGTGCAGAATGAATGAAAACGTTATCCATGGCACATCAAAAGTTGTTCACTTTCCTCCTGCAGGCTAGAGGCCGATATGAAATCTATTTCAACAATTGCAAAATTGTCATTGCAATTTCATAAAAAAGCAATTTGACAATCAATACGTGCAGTACGCGCGCGTCTTATTTGATGACGGGCCATATTACAAGTATATATATTTACTTAACAATTGATTGTAAGTCGCGCTCCTCTTTCATGACATTTCGTGAAAACTATACCGCGCGCGACTACGTTTCGTTATTGTAAAAGTTTCGAAAAGTATCCGACTTGTATCTGCAGATTCAAGTCGAGTTACATATTGTTCACCTACGCTCGAGATTTCCCGCGGATCGCGTGCACCCTCGGAATAAATAGCACGATCGAGATCGAAATCGCGGCAATATCGAATTACGATGTTTGCAAACGTTGAATTCACCCCCTGACACTGTACGGACGGTTGGTCCGTATACAGAATAATAGCCGCGATCGGAGATTAGATTAGATTTACTTTTACGTGGTGTCGCCACGTAAAAGCCTCGTATGGAAGAAAAGCGCAGGTAAAAACTGCTTATATTATATATACGACGCGCGGACGCTTCGATCTTGAGAGCTTATATCTCGACCTACATCAGCTCTTATTGTCAGCGTACCGCTCTTACTGCCCGCGCTGTAACAGTTATATAGTATAGTACATGTAACCTGTTTGCTCGATAGATACGATCGATACGATCGAGAGGGAATCTGTGACAGATCACTTCAATATAAATTCTCATGTAAATCCTAATACGCCACCTCTTATACACAGTATAATGTATAATATGTATATAGTATTATAGGACTCGCAGATCTGTCTCTTTAATTTGTGTGTCCAAGCTTTTAGACTAACAATAAAGTGTATCGAACGATGCCGGTTAATCTTGCTGATAATTCTGGACGATATCGGCACAGACGATATCGACGAGTACTATATCGATGCATACGTGGTGTCATCCACGTGGATCCATACATGGTGGATTGGCGCGCGCCTGCATTCAGTTCAGGCTGCTGTCGGATCGCGATCTCGTCGGGATCTACCGTGCTGCGCTGCGCTGCTGAAATACCGTACCTATGACTTTTTGACGTGCTTTTAACAGATTGAATTGAAAATGGCTCCGTGGCTCTCCCGCCGCGCCGCGATATCCGCACCGAGCGCACATCCAAACGAGTGCATACCGAAACAGACAGGCGGTGGGAGACGCGCGCGCGCGCGATATATATATATATATATATATCGTTCTTCTTCTCCCACTCTCCCATCTCGATCTCTCGATCTCTCCTCGCCGATCTATCTATCTACCTACCTACCTACCTACCTACCCCTCCGCGCGGACTCTCTCTTTTTATTTTTGCACATTCGCTGATGCAGCACATCGCAAGCTGCACTGGCGGAAACGACGTTGGGAGGAGAGAGGGAGAAAGGGAGGAAGGGACTGGACCGGTCAGTCCGTACAGAAGGGGGTGAGCAGAAATAATGTCCTGGTTCATTTTTTAAAGCCGCCCCCGTCCATCCGCCGCGCCGCGCCGGTAGGATGGTGGTCGGAGTTCTACGGGGGAAAAAAAAGTGACGGACGCGCCTAGAGAGGTATAGGTGCGGGTGCGGGTGCGGACGTGGACACACACGCACGCGCGCTCACACTCGGATCCGATATTATACGGCTTATACCGTTATACGCGATAACCCGATGTGGCGCGGCGCGGCGCGGCCCGGCCACCGGATGTGAAACGGTCAAAGCCAAAAAGCACTCTCCGCCGAAACGGGCTATATATTATCCGCAACCCTTCAAATACAGAACCGTCCGCGAAGAGATCCATATATAACGTATAACGTGTGCGTAAGCTCCACTTGTCCTGCGAAATCCCCAGCCATGCACCGTCTCTCTATTCGAGCTACTTTAAGCATTCACAATTTTACTCTTTTTCTTTTCGTTTCTGTCTCTTTTATACAAATACTAACTCTCTCGTAAGAATAGTTTGTTTCACTTGAATCATAAAATTATCAGACTTATATTATCGAATTTTCTTAATTGGCAGAGGGTTATCGAGATATCGCCCATAACTTGTTGTCAATATATTGAACTAAGTATCAAGACACGATAAAATTAGCATTCACTTATGAAAAGAAAACAATTTTTGTTCATAGAAAACGAAGAAAGAATTAGATAGGCATCTATTCACTAATCGAGCAATACCTTAAGAAATATTTGCCTGATGCAAAAGGATTGCAGTTCCTTTTGAAAAAACGTACGTAAATAATAAATACGTGATATGTATGTATATGTATACAATTTTAAATTAATACTTGCGCATTATATATTTTACCACAGCTATTTCCGTTTTCTTACTTTTCCAAAAAAAAAAAAAATCTCATTAGGAAAGTAGTACTGACTTAAGATACATGTAAATATATACTCAATAGTCGCATATGTTATAATAAGGAAGAGAGATGGGCGTGGTTACGAGGGGTTGCGTTCTCAGTTACGATCTCGTCGACCAATGCGAAGCCGTTTTACCTTCTGGCAACTGTTGCAAACGCAAGCGCCGTCATGCCTACCTCTGCGATCGCGCTATAGGCTACCGTATAGCCGTATACTGGACGCAGTACTGAATCTGATGAGGCGCGTACAGGCGCAGACTCGAATGCTGGGTAAGAGAGCTTTGTTACGTGCGCGCGCTGTGAGCTGTGAAAGACAGATAAGATAGCGGGGGAGAGAGAGAGAGAGAGAGGGAGGAAAGCTGTTAATTTATTTTAAATTATCTATTCTGTTACATATACTACTTTACCCTCTTAATAATTTTTAATAATCTTTGTCTGTAAAACATTTACATAAGACATTTACATAAGATTAAACAAGTAATCAAAAATAATTAATGTTTATTTACATTGCTGCTATTATACAACATGTAGGATCTATTGCAGCTCATTTTATTTCTATCCCTTCTCTCTCTCTCTCTCTCTCTCTCTCTCTCTCTCTCTCTCTCTCCTTTCCCCTTTCTTATTATTATAATATAATTTAATTAATTTTACTTGTGTATTAGTAAAACATTCTCCATTTGTATCCGTTCAATTCTAATATATCATCTATGACTATAATTTAAGAAAGTGTTATATTTTTTGTAACAAGATAAATTTATTTCAGCTACGTCCAACTATCATTGCAATGACAGAAGCAAAGTCAGATTGAAAAATTGAGTATTACTTCTTCATCTCCGTTTTATCGTCAAGAGTATCGTTCCAATGCCAAAATCATACCATCTATTATTTGACTTGTACTATTGTAGAAATATTTATATTTATCATCGGCTTTTGGATGATGGTTATAAACATCTTTCATAAATTCGCCATCCGGAGTGAAGAAGAGGATCCGTGGAACGTAGGTTCCGTCCGGTTGAAATTTTGCTTCGTCGTGCGCGGGTATCTCATCTTTCCTCACACTCACCATAACAAAGCTGCGTCACGAAAAAATTCATACAACCAATTTAATATTATACATACACATATAGTATCCTTCTAATCTTTACGCGTTTTGTTATCTTTCATTTGTGTGCAGTTCCTTTCCTATATTTATCTCTCGATCTATAATACCATTCAAAAGTTTAGTCCCATCAGCGAGTATCAGTGATGATACTCGCAATTCCCATTCCCGCCAATACATATACTGAGAGAAACTTTTTGGTTACGCATCTGTCCACACGCGGAAAAAAAATGTCAATTATACAAATAAACGCAAACTAAGACGCAGCTCATGCTTAGTTGGGGTCTGAGCACAAGAATTGTAATTGTCGTAACACTTACTTTATTAGGCACTTAAGTTGAGACATATAAGTAACGCACAAACTTTGGCGTTATCGTATGACTTATAGACTAGCGGTTTTTCCTCCGTTTTCAGTTTACTAACCGACCGAGAATCAACATTCTAGTGGCTGAAAATAATTTAATTCGATTCCTCATATTATTCTGAGGAAAAATATCTATATACACTTAATTTTTTTATATGGTCGTTGAATAGTTATAAAAAATTTTTTGTTTAAAAAGTCTAAATTTGGAATAAAAATTCCGAAAAAATTCCACGAATTTAATTGAATCAAAATATACATTTTTGTCTCCGAGACTTATTGTTTATATTAATAGTTTTTGAGATTAAAAAATGTTTAAACTTGAAAATGACTACCTTTATAATTTTTTTTTCTCAGAAACTAGTCATCCAATCAGTATGAATAAAGAACGAAAATATTCGGCTAATCTTAAATTGTAACAAGAATTTTAATTTATTTTGTCAATTTATCTCTACTGTTAATAAGGTGCCGCGGATGCGCCTTCATTGTAATAATGTTTTCACTGTCACAATAACAGTACAGATCAAAATAAATTAAAATTCTTGCTATAATTTAAGATTGGCCGAATATTTTCATTTTTTATTCATACCGATTGGATGATTAGTTTCTGAGAAAAAAATCATGAAAGTAGTCATTTTTCAAATTTAGACATTTTTTTGTCTTAAAACTATTGATTTGCACAAAAAATGTCTCTTTTGATCCAATTAAGCTTACAGAATTTTTTTCGGAATTTTTATTCCAAGTTTAGATTTTTTAAACAAAAAATTGTTTACAACTATTTAATGACCACACAAAAAATCAAGTGTATACATATATGTAGATGTTTCTCCGCAGAATAATATGAGGAACCGAATTAAATTATTTTTAGCCACTATAACTTGATTGGGGGGTTAGTGAACTTTCTAAGAGACTTTTTATATCGACGTGGGTAAACCACTCATCTATTATCGCCGTATCTCCAATAAGTCGTATGTCATACGCCAAAGCTTGTGCGTTACTTACGTCTATAACTTAAGTCTCTAACAAAGTAAGTGTTACGACAATTACAATTCTTGTGCTCAGATCACTCTTATACTTATCATTATCGATCCCCTTTGATTTACATGACACGTTGACAAATTTTTGTATTCTTTTCACGGCTCTGTTTACCAAACTAAAAGGTAAAAAGTTAATAAACGACATTTTTTTCATAATATCCTTCTTTTTATTATTAGATAACGTATCGTTGCTAGTTTAGAGCTTACAAAAATAAATGCGACATTTTCATAAACTTTGTATAAGCGACACGTATAAAAAGTGCAGTTTTTAATTGTTTATATCTTATTGTTAGTATTGGTATTATATGTATATAAGGTCAATCTCATTAATTGCACAAGCGTGTCAATGCGTACAATGTACTGCAGTTTCAATTTCAAGAGAATTCAATTTCTGACTGTTTTTAATTCGCGAGTGTACTACTTTAACTCGTAAAAAAACATTTTGCTTACAATAATGTATGATTGGACATTTACGCTAATGCGAGATCGATCTATCATCAACAATATCTTGTACATGTGTATACATATTATACATTTATTAGAACCGTTTATTAGAATCTCTTGCGCGCAAGTCTTCGGCGGCACGTTTATAGATATAAATTAGGTAGGTATATATGTATATATGTATATCACGTGACAGGAATTGTTTGGTGCGCACCGCGCGTTTTCGAGTTCAAATAAATGCCGTCAACTCGGCAAAGTAGAGAAATATACTATATATTTTTTTACGTAGTAACGTTCCGCGCAAAAAGTACTTACTGCTGGCTAAGATTGAGGATTCTGATCGAGTTGGTGAATTTAGGCTTCAATTTCTCGCAAGTTGGACAGCCCGGTTTGTGGATTAGCAGAAATATCGGTTTCCTGCAGATTTTCGCCTCTTGGAAGCCTTCTCGTAAATTTCTCCATTTGTACATGCGTTCAAAGTTGCGGTTAGAATCATCGTCGGCGGCAGCGGCGCCGATTACATTTCCGAATACGTAATAATAATAGACCAAGGCTGCAGTAACGTTCAGAAACCCGAAACATTTCGTGTAACGCATGATTAGATTCCAATTGGGAACGTCAAGTTTCTTAACTTGATTCACAATAACGTTACATTTGATTAGATTTTATACGTCATACGAATTACGTGTCAATTTAATTTGTGGTAAGGTAAGTGATTTGATGAAACCCCCCACTTATGGTTATTTCAGCATTTTCAGCCAACTTCGCGCTTCCGGCTTCGTTCGTAACAATCGTAATAGCATACGAGTGCCATCTATTGACAGCACTCGCAAGCAACTGAATGCGAACATTTCAATTTTCAGTGCGCTTGTACATACGTTTATATGGCTTATATTTTGATATCAGCTGATGGCCGCCGCTGCCGGCTGCGCAGGCTGCGCTGGCTGGGTCACTCTAGTCGTTAATCGTCGGGTTATTGCTGTTTCCTCGTTTTGTGTTTTCTTCTGCATACGTGTGATACGTTGCGTCGGCTTGTATGTGTGTATGTATGTACGTATGTATATTTGTATGTATGCATGGCATATATATACATACACATGTGACAAACGTGCGCGCGCCGGTCGCTTTGAGTCATTTTCTTGCGTGTTTCTTACGTCCGTGTGACGCAGATGACGCAGACAACAGAGTTGCAGGACTGCACTCTGTTCTGTCCTCTTCCGTATAGGTTAGCGTCGACGCAGGTTAAACGAAAGATTTGACAGAACAGTGAGAATGGTGGGAAACGCTCTTGTCTTATTGTGTTAATTTTTTATCAGTCGCACCGGACTGTGCTAACCAATTTATTGTTTCATGGAATATATCGCGTGCACAATATTTCGAGATCGCGGTATACCGGACGAAGCTACATTCCAAGATCTTGAAAAGTCAACAGTACAAAATGAAGCCTTTAATCGAATTCGAGGAATGCTTACGGGATACTCCCAAGTTTCGGTAAGATTTCTTTCCTTACACACACACATACACAGACACAATTTGTTTCGTACAAAGGGATAGCACTTGTATCTCTCTATGATTTTCTGTTATTCTACTATCCGTTGTTAATCGTTTCTTGGTAGTTTAAGCTCAATAAATTTTTTAGCTTAAGATGACATTTTGCACTAAATTGACTGAATGATAAAGTGTTGTGTGAAATGTATACTTTACAGATTATGCATCGAAGAGGTGGAGAAGAATGTGGATCTACTAGAACAAAAGTTAGATAAGGTATCCTATAATATTATAAAATGTCTTATTTAAACACATTTGTATATCATTAATTTAACTTTTGCACTTTCTGAAAATGATTACACTTAATGTAATACATGGATTAAATAATATGCAAATGACAGACAATTTAATGATAACAATATGACATGAGTCATTTTTACATACAATTATCACGTTATAATATACATATATATGCGTAACAGACATATAAAAAATATATCCCAACTTTATAATTTTTTCTTTAGGTATTAAAAAATTGCAGTCTGACTATTGATACTGGAAAAGCCTTTGTTGGACAGCAAAAGTAAGTTTCATATATCAATATATAACAATATACTTTGTCTTTTTCAACTTGTTGATCAATTGTAATCGTTTTGTCAAATATACTATATTAAAATTAACTAAGATTATTATCAGAAGATGCAAAGGAATATATAATAGAATCTTACATAATATAGAAAAATAGATAAATTTTATATATATATATATATAATGTATGTACATTATGCAATAATAATACAAATTAATGGTAATCAAGGAAAAAGTAAAAAAAATGCCAACGAATTATGTATTAAATAACACATAAAGAAAAATTTCCATCATTTTCCACATTATATTTATATACCCACATCTTTTTGGCACATATATATACACTTAACACATATATATGTGTGTATAATGATATATCTTTAATATTAATAATTGTTATTTTTCTTAAAGCCAATTTGCCAATAGTCTATGGGAATTATCTTTGTACTTCAGCGATGATCCAGAAATAATGGCATTCCTAAATAAGCTTATACATGCTTTACAAGAAATGAACAAGTATCATACTATTTTATTAGATCAAGCTTCTAGGACTGTGATGAAGGATCTTAATAATTTTATTAAAAGGTAAATTTTTTACACACAACACACACACACACACACACACACACATCGATTTTCAAACAAAATTGACAAGTTTTACGAAATTCTACAAAATTTTACTTCAATCTTTTCCTAGCGATATCAAGAGAACAAAAGAGACTCGGCATTACTTTGAAAGAATTTCCAGTGATCTTGATATTGCACTGAATAGGAATTCTCAAGTACCGAAATCTCGGCCTATGGAATACGAAGAAGCATCAAACATCCTGTCGGCTACCCGATCATGTTTTCGACACACTGCTTTAGATTATATTCACGCTTTGACGATGCTGCAAGCGCACAAGCGACACGAGATATTAGGCACATTATTAAGCTACATGCACGCGTGTATTACTTATTATCATCAAGGTAGCGATCTTGCTCAAGATTTAGATCCTTCTCTCAAAGATCTCGATGAAAATTTAGTTCAGATGAGAGGTGATTCGAATAAACTCGAAAAAGAAATGGAAAATCGTCATATTTATGTTAACAATCGAGATTTGATCCCTTCTCTGGAACCTAGCAATTCCAAGATGGAAGGCTATTTATTTAAAAGGACTAGCAATGCTTTTAAAACTTGGAACAGAAGGTGGTTCTGTTTGAAGGATCATCAGCTAGTATATCGAAAGAGAACAGGTGACGAAGGCTATACAATTATGGAAGAAGATTTGCGATTATGCACTGTAAAACCTGTAGTTGATTGCGATAGGAGAAATTGTTTTGAAGTTTTAAGTCCAACAAAGTAAGTAGATACCAGTTTCCAATTTGTGCGCGGTAATTACTATAATATATTATTATAAACAAAAGTAAAAGTTAAACGTTTCATAAGTGAATAAAAAATTAAGTTTCCATTTTCTAGGAGTCATATGCTGCAAGCAGACAGCGAAGAATCGTATTTGGCGTGGATAACTGCGATGCAGCAAGCTATTGGCGCTGCTATTCAAAGAGGCATGAGTGTAGTTGCTAATATTAATCCACATGAATTACAATCACGTGATAGTCCTGCGAGACCATTGACAAGACTAAAGTCAAAGTGAGTATTGATACTTTTTATGCTGTCGATTCGTATTGAGGAGGTGAGAGTATTTTATCACAAATTATCACTTTGAAATTTCAGAGTGTGGGAACAGTTATTAAAGATCTCGGGTAACGAGGTTTGCTGCGATTGCGGCGATGTTAATCCACGATGGGCTAGCATTAATCTAGGCATTACGCTTTGCATAGGTAAGCTTTACTCAACAAAATGTATGCGGTGCTACTTTTAACACGATGTACTTGATATTTTTCACGTTTATCTAGAATGTTCTGGTGTACATAGAAGTCTTGGGGTACACTACAGTAAAGTTCGATCCTTAACATTGGATGATTGGGAACCAGAAATACTTAAAGTAATGGCGGAATTAGGCAATTCTGTGGTAAATAGCATATACGAAGCTCTACCTGTACCTTCCGACATTACTAAAGCTACACCAAAATGCAATGGGTATATAATGTCATGATAAATTGATCAGCTATCTCCTGTTTAATGGCAATAAAAGAAAATCTTACAAAAAATATTTACTTTTCTCTAGTAACGTTCGAGAAGCTTGGATAAAATTCAAATATGTAGATCGTAAATTTGTAAAACCTCTGACTGATGTAATACCAGCTGGTGGGCATCACGCTAGTCGCGAGCAAATGCGATTTCGAAAATGGAGTGTGCGTAAATTACGTCGCAGACCACGCAGTTGCGATAAGATCGATAATAGTAGTGCCAGTAAAACGTTGACATTATTACCTGTCAAAGAAACTTATCCTTCAACGAGCTCGGACGAAAGTAAACACACGTCAATCGACAGTTTGAATTCCGTTGGCAAAGCAAAGAAAATTGAACGAAATTCCGTAAGCTCGGATGATAGTGCTAATATAGATTTGAAAAACAATTCTACTCTTTACGGAAAGATCTTAAATCGTTCGCAGAACGATTTGAATGAAGTTAATAAATATGTTAAGAGTACAACTGCAACTCGTGAAGAAGTCGCAAGTGTCGAACCGCTTGCAAAAGAGCTTGGTTCGATGGAAAGCGAACTAAAATTGAATACGACTGAAATAGTGAATATTAATACGTTTTTAGTCGTCGAATCGGACGACAGTTTCAATAAACATACCAATGATAAAGTCAAGGACGATAATAAAAACATTTCAGGAAATAGAGATCTTGGATCAAAGAAGCACTATAACGAAAAAGTACAATCAGCTGTCTTAATGTTTGGTTGCGATGTACCAAAACCTGCTATCGATAACAATTTAGAACTAAGTTCCGATCAAGATTCAACGGCTGGCGAGGATGAAGAATTTACTGATGAAGAAGATATAGAAAATCTGCATCCTGAGATGTTGCTTTACAAAGCTGCAGCAGCGCATAATTTACCGGTAATGTGTGCAGCATTAGCGGCCGGTGCTGATAAGTTGTGGTCGAATGTTAATGACAAAAGCCGCAGTTCTCTACATCAAGCGATAATAAGTGTATGTACGACATTTTATATAAAACGTGAGCGCGCGCGCGCGCGCGCGCACATACACACACACACACACACAATGTATAATTTTTCTTTTTTGTGAATTATGTTTCATACATTTCTTACACTATTTCTGCAAGAAACATGCTTCTCAAAATATACAAATGTAATATTAATTATGTATATTCTTGCAGGGTTCCGTTATGTCATGTGAGTATCTCCTTTTAAATGGTGCACGAATCAATTGTCAAGACATCGAGGGAAAAACACCATTGCATATAGCGACAGAATTAGGTACATAACAATATTGTCTTTATGTTTTTCGAAATGGAGAGAGGAGAAGAATATTAACATTTTATAAATTTTTGCAATTACAGGACATACTGCCCAAGTATGCCTACTTCTTAAACATCGTGCTGATCAACATATTGAAGATGAAAGTGGAATAAAACCTTTGTCAATTGCTGTAAAAGAAGCAAACGCCGATATCGTCACTTTGTAAGTATTGTCTATAAAGGTTTATATACGTATATAGACTT